TAAATTAGTTTTATATTTTAGACTTACTTTGGAATTTTTTTCCATGTTCATAGAAAGTTATATTGATGTTTATAAGACCTCAATAAATAGAGGGTGTAAACCTACAAATTTTTTATCCAATATTCAGAATTGATGTTAGAGATTTTAATCGTGTTCCATAGAAATTATTTTTGCAAATCTTTCTGTCGAGGATTCCAGGAGGTTTTCATGTGTCTCTTATCAACTAGAGACTCTACGCGTCTAGTCGGACGAGCATCTATCCTATATCAATTGCTCATTTCCACCAGTTGATTACGTCCGATTTGTTTAATATACCAATTGCCCTTTGTCACGAGTTGGTATTTCCGATTGATTCCGCATTTATCTTTATTTTCGAGTTCAAGAAAAGAGAAATCAAGAAGAGCATAAAAAGATCAATTAAGATGCGTACTTTGGTCATATCATCGGAGTTTGAGAATTCTTCTCGAATTTGGATCATATCAGCTCTACTCTGTATTGGATTCGTCATTGTTCTTATTATCATGTATATAACTAGTCTATGTTCTGGTACGTACATACAACCATAATATACCTTCAAACCACATTGTATAAACTTATGTACTACCAAACATTACCATCATGGTATGTACTGATAATAAATGTCTTAATTATTTTTCAAAATATATCAAAGTGGATGTTATTTTGTGAAGCACACTCGATCTTGATCTAATTTGTATGTGAAAAAAAAATTAAAATACGACTTAAAGTGTAAAAGATACTAAAGTTTGGATTCAATTGTGTTGGCCAAATATGATTGGAAGATCATTGAAGCATAAATTGTATATTAAATAACAAAAAAAAAAGATCGAGAGATGATCGATGTGTGAGTCAAATTGTGGGGCCCATATCCTCTTGTTGTGGAGGCGGTAGGTTGAGGTCAAATTCAAGCTCCAGATTGTCTCTTTGAAGTGACGCAGCAGGGGCGGCGGCTAATAATGCTATAGACGTTGATGGTGTCGGAGCATCGCCTTTGGCAGCTGCTCCTTGGACAATTGCAGCATCAGAGGGTTGTCCACCTACATACATACGTACAATTGTGAGTGAATATTTATGAATGGGTATTTAGTCAATTACTGTTCACTCATGAATTGATGTACTTATTAGCTTCTTCACACACATATAAACCATACCTGTCGTAGCAACAGTAAGTGTAGTGGAGATGGGTTGTTTGATGGTTTTCATTTGTCGCCTAGTGATGGTTGTGCCGACTTCATAAGTGACAGAGATCTGCTTGCGTTGTTCCTTGTGATGGGCGGGCCAGTGACCAAAGAGAGCATGGTAGGAAGAGAAAGCTTTCCCGCACACATTGCATGGAGGTGGGACTCCTTGCAAGATGCTTCTCTTAACGCTGGGAGGCATCTCTGAAAGTAGTTTGGTTCTATACATCTTAGGCCCCTTTCCACTTACACTAATGGCGGCTGCAGCAGTTGTACTTTCCTCCACTGACTGTGACTGCCACTGCATAAAGCAACTATTTACGTTTAATATCATGGTTATTGTTTGAAGATGATTTACTTTCGTGTCTGTCTCTCAAATTATAGTCCCAAGTGCGAACACACAATTTTTGTACAAGTGAATAGAATGTACTTTCTTCTCCCCAAATAGTAGAAGAGAAATACTGTAATTTGAGGAGATGAAAATAAATCCTCTTTACTTGTACAAAAATGTGTTTTCGCACTTCGCACTTGTTGGGGGTGTAACTATGTCATAACCCAACCCTCACAGTAAATACGGCTCGCTGGGCACATATGGGCCAAAACCCAGAAAACACTTCAATGGCCCAACTGAAGCCCAACAAAGTTTCACAAGGCTATACCTATAAATATGTTCTTAGGTTTTCTAAGTAAAGGGCTCCCTCTCTTTTACTCATTTCCACATATCACTTATCTCTCTACAATATCTCTCTCTACCTGAACTCTCCTTATTTTCTATCACAATACTAATGTTGATCGTTGGAGTGTAGATACAGGGGGCCATCCCCGCCATTTCACAGATCCGGTGTCCTAATTGTTTCATGGCTGAAACAGTACTAATTATTTTTTTATAATAAATTTTATCCACTCATTTGATGATTGCATTGAAATAAAATTATTCACAAAATAGTTTAAGTAAGACAATTCCTTAAGGGGCGTTTGGATGGATCAATCTAGAAATGAGTCAATTTGATCAATTGTCTCGTTTTATAAACGAGGCAATTCAAACGAGTCAATCAAATTACCTGTCCCACCCCAGGTAATTGAAATTGCCTCAAAACGGATCAATTCAAAATACCTCAGGCAGATTGATCCATCGAAATTTTTTGCTGGCAAATGAGGCAATTTGGTACAATTGTCTCAAAATGAGACAATTGTGTCAAATTGATCCGTTACAATTCCTCGTCCAAACGACCCCTAAGTTTTATGTGGTGTCTTAATAATTATAGAAGGCTTATGTAACATGTTTGTATGATTGATACATAAGAAATAAATATCCCTTCCATTTTAATAAGTTTTACATAGTGTATTCTAATAACTGTTATAGGACGGTGGAATACAATCTTCTTTAACGTGTGACCTAATAATAAAATCAAGTTACATATCTCACATTTGATTAAATTATTATCTAATTAAGTTATCTTATGGGAGTTTCAATTTGTGTACTGCAAATTGATGAAATGTTGAATATATCAAGGTATTTTCATAATAAGTGAATTAAGTTACAAAAGCATCACATTTAATTAAAATACAATAAAAAGTTAACTTACCTTAACGTACTTTTGCGCAATGCAAATTGATGAAATGTTGAACATTATAGTTAATTATAAACTTTACTTAATGTATTTGTATTATGCAAATTTTGTGTAATATGGAATGAAAAAGTACTTAATAGCTATCTAAAAGTAAAAAACATTATTGTGAAATTGGGTGTAGGAGATGTAAAACAAAAAATTACATAAGGAATTGGCTATTAGAAAACATAATTTATAGTAAAATTGGGTGTAGAGTAACAAAAATCCAGTGAAGAATGAAAAACTACCGAGATGGTTGGGTGTAAGAGATGAAAAGTAATTGATTACATAAATAATATTTGAGGGAAAAAAGAACTTAGGGTAGAATGGGGTGTAAAATATAAAAAACTCCGGTAAATAGTACCCGATACAGAAAAGTGAAAACAAATTTAGTACTACCCCTATTTTTAGTAAAGAATAGTAACTTTAATCTATGGCTTTATATAATAAAATATATATATATTAAAGACTGTTAGACTCTATGAGTATACTATACTCCAAGTGATCGGACCGTTAGATGTACTTCGATGAGTTGTGACCAATCTCAATGGTCAATTATTGTGTTTTTCTATTAAATTGAACTTCGGGTTTGGGTTTGAAAATCAGGGCGTGAGGTTAATCTTTTATAGGTTAGGGTATAATATCATACCTCAAACTCACTTTAATTCATGATCTAGATAGACATATCTCACTAGCACTACCTAGAGTATAGAATACTCCAAGAGTACACTAGACGTACACTATATATATATATATATATATATATATATATATATATGGTTCAGGCCAATGCGGTCAAAATTGTGCTTCAAAGCGTAAAATTATACGTTTCTACGTATCTAGACCATAGAAACACTTCAGTTTCAACCTAAAAATGCATTGTACACATATGGGGTGGGGGGGGGGGGGGAGAACATTAGTGAACGCGTTTTCGGTCCTTTTGTGAGATTTTGAGCATAGGTCAAAACTGCTTATTCATACCCAAAACAACAACGTATTAAGGATGATTTGTGAAAAAAGGTTGGTCGTTCCTAGGGAAAGAATCAAACCCTAAAGCTAAATCGTCTTCCTCTCAAAGTAGCAGCGGATGCGGGTTGCGGCGCACTCCCTCATGTTCATTAGTCGTCACCATTCCATCTTCGTCGTTGGTAAGATCTCAGCAATTAACACGCTTCCAACCAGGGCTGCTCTCTCCGACCGGTTGCACGCTTGACGCTTCGACTTTAGAGGTTTGAGTTGTTGGAAGAAATCCTGAGTGCATACAGATTCCTTGCTGCATCAGGATTAGAAAGAAGGGCGCCAAATTTGAAAGAAGTCTATTGTTGGAGAATGCGACATCGTTTTAGCTTAAGTTGAATAGTCATGCTACGTTGTGCAGTATTGCAGAGTCAGTTCCTATTTCCTGCTTTGTTACATTTTAGTCCTTGAGTAGTGGGTTAGATTGGTTGAGCACTTTTAGCTCAATTGGTTTGTTAGTTAGCATTGTTAGCGTGATTTCTGGGTAGTGGAACGTTGCTAGGAGTCAGAGATTCATGGATTGATGTAATCACTATATCTACTTGAGCTTTTCTATTCAATAAAACCCGTCAGATTGCATCTATAGTGTTCTTCATTTGGTATCAGAGCACCTAGAAAGCTGTAACCATTGATCAGTTGAGAGAAGCTTTCAAGCTTTTTGAGTGTTTGTTATATAGTGAAATTTGAGTGAGTTGTAGGATGCATTGTGGTATGGAAACTTGTATCAGGGTGAGAGAAAACCATAGAAATCGTGAGTGAGAATGCTGGTTTTGCATAGGTTGGTCTGCCTAAGTTCGATGGAGACTATGATCACTGAAGCCTTTTGATGGAGAACCTTTTGAGATCCAAAGAGTACTGGGTGTTGTGAGTGAAGGTATTTAGGAACTAGCTGCTGGAACTCAGTTGTCTGCTACTGACTCCAAAAGCCTAGATGATCTTAGGCTCAAGGATCTCAAGGCCGAGAATTACTTGTTTAGCTCCATTGACAAATCAATTTTGAAGACCATCACCAACAAGGAAACTTCAAAACAACTCTAGGATGCTATGAAGACTAAATACCAGGGGAGTGCTCGTGTCCAGAAAGCTCAATTGCAGGCTTTGACAAGGGCCTTTGAGGTTTTGGAAATGAAAGAAGGTGAGACCATTACTGCTTATTTTAGTAGGGTAATGGTAGTGGCTAATGATATGTTGATAGTAGTGGCTTGGTCAAGTCCACCTCCACGCAAACCCTAGCAAAATTTCCACGTGCTCCCTCTTCCGTTGCTCTATCCACCTTAACCGGCCTTCCCATCAATGCTCCTATCCTCATCACTGCTTCTTTATTAATAAATTCAATAGGCAAATCTGGCAGCTGAACCCATACCATGGTAGATTTCACCTCCGTCGTCCATGGATTGAACCCCTTGTGCCACCTCATAACTGTGAGATATGTATCCCCCAGCAGCCACGGTCCACCATTGATAGTCGGATTGTAGTCATCTTCGTGTCGAAACCTCACTAGAAAACAACCATTCTTTAAGTCCGATATCTGCAACTCGCCTCTCCTTGCCCATAGTAAGTTTAGTCTGCGCGAGGGCGGTTGATAGAAAACCCTCCGGCCTAGACCACGCACAACCAGGGGGTAGCGCCACTCTCTTCGCCACTTAATTTTCTCAGTTGCTGTAAACAACACTGATGGGCACGTTGGGTCGTCCTCCAGCTCTTCAACAAAGTCATCTTCTTCCTTCTCCGCCATCGCAACATCCTCCGAGTCAGAATCTGCTATATACCATTCGTCCTTCTTCAGCACCTCGCTAAATAGCCTTCGTGCCCCCGATGTCCAAGCTTGACCTGTGCCTGGTTGCTTCCCTGTATCAGCGCTTCCCGCTTCAACATCAGCTTCCATGTCCTCTTCCGTAATGTCCTCTATTACTACATCGTCGTTATTCACGTTCAGAGCCCTAGGGCGCTTTTTTTCTTGGATCGTCTCCTTGTCCCGCTTGCTGTTTGGGGATGAAGATGCATCTGGAGGTCTCCGAGATCCGCTTAGCGTGTCCGGCGGCTTATCCTTGCCATCCTTTGGCGGAGACACCGCCATAGTCTCCATTGAGTTTGCCCTAGTTCGCCAAAGATCGCCTCAAAATCGCCGCTCCGTAATTTTCGCTCTCTCTCCTTTTGTCACTCAACTCTATTAAGTTACTAAAGCGAGTGGAAGTTATATGTTTCTGTTGCCCGTGTTTTGTAGAAGGTTGTTCAATTACAAATTGCTTGGTTTCTTAAACTAGATAACACTAATTCTTTTGACAATGGAAAATTATGTGCATTTATAAAAATTTGGACCATTACTATAACTACCAGCTAGTCTTTCTATTTTAGTACAAGGAAATTGGAACATATAGTTTTACTTGAGTTACGAGCTTTTTAGGAGTGGACACTGTTGATGTTAGTTTTAATGGTCATTTAAAAGAATTTCATAAATTCCTAACCCGTGGTTGTATTGGTGATAAAAAGAGTGATGGAGGTATGTCGGAACTATATGCGTGTTGTATGGGTGCCAAATTTTAGCCATAGCCCAATGAGAGCAAATCATCTTTTGGTGGAGCTAAAATCATCAATCTAGCTCCAAATTTGGCATTTTAGCTCTTAGTATTAGAGAAGGTAAAAGAAGTTCAAGTCAAATTATCTTTTTCATTGAAACTCCTCGAATTCAAGGTATGCAATGGTCAATGGCCAAACTCACTTCCTGAAGCGATACAATTTCAATTTATGAGAAGATAAAAATGAGATCATCCATTAGAATTAATTACGATTACAATCAATTCCATTAGCTCAAGGCGATAGAAGGAACTCTTAACTTCAAATGAAAAGCAACAAATACTTCAATAATAAGAACAATCCGGCCAACGGGCCGGACTCTGTGCTAGTAGTATAGGCAAGAAGAGAGTCGTCGCTATGGACATGCTTCCCACCTTCCAACCAGCTAGCCTGGCGTCTATCTTGTTGATCACGGTGGTGAAGGTATTCTTTAACACTCGATCATGAATAATCGGGACCCCCAAGTATCTTCCCTGGTTGTTGGTTGCCGGAATACCAAGTGCTGAGCTTGTAGCCTTACCACTGGCAGTGCTCACATTGTCTGAGAATTAGATAGGGACTTCAGTTTATTTATTTGTTGCCTCGATGCCGTACCAAACTTCTCAAAGCATCTAAGAATCACCCCTACTTGCTCTAAGAATGCTTCGCCGAAGAGAATAATGTCATCTGCAAAAAAGAGATGTGACAGCGACAAACTATTGTTAGATAATTTGACCGGCTTACAAGATCCTCCTGCAACCTCCATCTTGATCAACTGGTTTAGGTGCTCCATCCATGCATAAGGTGAAGATATAGGGTTAGGGGTGGAAATCGGTACGGTATCGGTATCCCAATACCAAATACCGAAATCCCGAATACCGAATTACACCCTAAAGTCAATCCCAATCCCAATCCCTAAATAATTTCGGTATCCCAATCCCAATCCCTAAATATTTTGGTATCCCAATCGGTACTTCGGTATCCCAATCGGTATTATCGAATAAGCAATTAATTACCTTTGTAATTAATAATTAAATATATAAATTAGATTTTATTGTTTAATTTACGGGGAAAAGACTAAGCAAAGAGTTTTGAATTAGGATATTATTAGGGAGAGTGGAGGAGAGGAGACATCTCAAGTTCTTGTTATTGATAATCTTTAATTTGACAAATTGGAGGTTGAGAGACGACTATTAATAGTGATGGAATGATATGTGTATAATTAAATGACACTTTTGGTGGTTGATGGAATGATATGTGTAAATAATAGAGTCTAGTTGAGAGGATAAAATACAAACTAGCTTATATTTCGGTATTGATCGGTATTTCGGTATATCCCGATCCCAATCCCGTAATCCCTAATACCGAATAACAATTGAAATTCAATCCCAATCCCAATCCCAAGAAATAATACGTGTATTCGGTAATACCACATATAGACAAATTCGGTACGGTATTCGGTATATCCCAAATACCGGTACCAAACTTCCAGCCCTATATAGGGTGGAATGGAAGACAAAGGGTTATTATAATTTTTTTTTTCTTTTCTGAAAAGAATAATGAAGAATATATGAGTCAACTAATTAATTGTGGTTTCCAGCTTGGTCTTCCGCTTTCCTTTGCTCTTATCTCGGCTTCGCCTTCGGCGAAATTGGGATCTCTCTTTCGAGTCTTGATCGACGGAGGCCTCTGTCGTCCCGTTGGCTGTGATAATTTCCCGCTTTGTCCCGTTTCCTTCCACCTCAACCCGCTTTCTCCGTTATCGAATTCCGACCCTTGTAATCCATCGGCAGCAATGTTGGAGCAGATGGCGAAGAGATCCGTGCCTCTTCTAAAGCAACTTCTCTCCTCCTCCGCCGCCGCCTCATCGTCATGCTCCTCCCGCTTCACCTCTCACCGATCCGTCACCTACATGCCCCGTCCCGGAGACGGCTCTCCACGCGCCGTCACCTTGATTCCCGGCGACGGAATTGGTCCTCTCGTCACAGGCGCCGTCGAGCAAGTCATGGAGGCGATGCACGCTCCTGTCTACTTCGAGCGCTACGATGTCCACGGGGATATGCCGAAGGTGCCGCAGGAGGTGATTGACTCGATCAAGAAGAACAAGGTGTGCTTGAAAGGAGGTTTGGCCACTCCCATGGGAGGTGGTGTAAGCTCTTTGAACGTCCAGCTGAGGAAACAGCTTGATTTGTACGCTTCCCTAGTGAATTGCTTCAATCTGCCTGGATTGCCCACTCGCCACGAGAATGTCGACATCGTCGTGATTAGAGAGAACACCGAAGGCGAATACGCCGGCCTGGAGCACGAGGTCGTCCCTGGCGTCGTCGAGAGCCTCAAGGTACTGCGGAATCGCATTTCCATTTGCCTTTTCTCGATTGGAAAATTCGTCAATCCTCACTGGAGTTCATTGTTAGAATCTCATACTACTTGGTGCGCTAGGTGATTACGAAGTTCTGCTCGGAGCGGATTGCCAAGTATGCCTTCGAGTATGCGTACCTGAACAACAGGAGGAAAGTGACTGCAGTGCACAAGGCCAACATCATGAAGCTCGCTGATGGGTTGTTCTTGGAGTCCTGCCGAGAGGTTGCTACCAAGTATCCCGGCATCAAGTACAACGAAATCATTGTGGATAATTGCTGCATGCAACTTGTATCCAAGCCTGAGCAATTCGATGTTATGGTAAGGAATCGCTGTTTCCCCAGTCCTCAGAGGCAGAGAGATTCCTCTTGTTTTAGTTGTGGATTAAATTTTCGTAACTAGGTATAGAAGTATGGTGTTGTGGATTAACTAACATGACTTGTTACCAAATGCTCTGAAGTGATCCGTCCACACTGAGAGTGAGAACCCACGTACATAATCAAGAACGGCTGGAGGATGGCCTTGTCTTTGACTGGCCAACCCATAGTGTCTGGAATTCTTGATATCATAGGAGTGGCTTTGAGATATTTCGAAAAAGTTGGGTTTCCTTTAACATCATTTGCCAATAGTTATTATTTAGTTTATGGAATTACGTTATTCATCATCTTGCAAGCAGGAACATGTTATGTAATGCATTGATACAACCATAATTTGATCGGTTGATATGAGATAAGAGCGAAACTGATGACATTTGATGCCAAGTCCTTAGAGGTCTATGCTGTTGGCAACTTCTTTATGGTTGTCTGCTGTAACCTGAGTTTAAACCTTGAGGCAAAGCATCTTCTATGGAAGATTTTTGTTATGTGCTAAGTCATTGTCTTTGTCTTATCTATTCCAAGCTGTCGATTTTAGAGGCTGCTATTGCTGGTCTGCAGATCATAAAGATTTCCCTTTGTCTTTGTAGGTCACACCTAATCTTTATGGAAATCTAGTTGCAAATACAGCTGCAGGTATTGCTGGTGGTACTGGAGTGATGCCTGGAGGTAACTCGATTCTAGTTTTTTTCTGTCTGCTTTATACTAATTCCATTATAAAAAATTGCGATGAGTTACTGGTCATTGGTCAAGCAACCAACTTAGCTGCCTGATAATCAGAAGCACAATAACGAGTGTTGTGAAAAGTTCACCTACTTGGATAATTAGAGTTGAAAAAGTATAGCTGAACCAGAATCTTCAATTTGATCCTATGGTGGTGCTGGGGACCTCGATCTTCTTATATAAAGATACTTTGTTCTTAAATAGCATATTCCGGTTCAGCTCTGGCAAAACATGTATGAATACGTGATTTGATTTCTTCCTCGTCAGTCCACGGGACCTAGGAAATACATCTCTTTCCTATTCCATGCCACTTATAAGCCGCAGGTTTTCATCACATCAAACTGAATGGCAGGAAAACCTAAATATTGGGCGTCCCACCAAATCCAACTGATATGGGTTGGATTAGTTATGATGCTTTGGGTTTTTTTTTTTCTCCTATCCATTATGTTTCTATATCCATGGAATATGGGTACCCATTTCATAATTCACTGTCGGAATAGTGCTTTTTCTTGCAATTGAATTAAAACCTGCGGCTGGTTGGTCATTGGTATTACAGGTAATGTTGGAGCTGATCACGCAGTGTTCGAGCAAGGTGCGTCGGCAGGAAATGTAGGGAACGAGAAAGTAACGGAACAGAAGAAAGCAAACCCAGTTGCTCTGCTGCTGTCTTCTGCTATGATGCTTAGACATCTCCAGTTCCCATCATTTGCTGATAGGTTGGAGACTGCTGTCAAGCATGTGATCTTTGAGGGCAAGCACCGGACCAAGGACTTAGGAGGGAATAGTACCACCCAAGAGGTTGTTGATGCGGTCATAGCTGCTTTGGACTGACATCCGCTGTCCGCCTCCCGCAGGAAACACTCACATTTTAGCACTTGGCTTATTCAATATTCTTCACTCTCGAACTTTTTGAAGGCTACTGTTTCATGCATACGAGAGAGTTGGAAAGCATCTGTATTTTTCCCCGTCTCAATAATCTTTACTTGGTGAAACGTTAAATGCTCTAACTTGAATCAACGGCTTGTATAGGTTCCATGAGAATTTATTACAGTTGTGCAATGCACAGTTTGTTTCGGTTGTGATCAAATCTCTCTTCCAACAGCTTAATGTCTCACTTTGCTCGACCTCTTGGCCATAAATTACTCGACATGATATAGAGGGGGCCTCTCCTTCTCGCTTTCAGAAACCGAAGAACCTCAACTAGGAAGCTGCTGAAGTTCCTAGCATGGGACATAAGTAGAAGCCGCTATGGTTAACAAGCTGTAGATATAGATGCAACGCACAGGCTTCTCCTGGATGAAACACAATGACATTTTACACACAGAGTTACCACATGATTCGGGTTAGATTACACACTTTTATACCCCTTATCTTATACCGTTTGTCTTGATTTGCATCGTCCTTGGAGTTATTTTATGCTAGTTTTGCTCGTGTTGTGTCATCATCGGGATTGAAAGTTGGATAAAAGAGGGCGAAAAGGGAGCAAAATAGATGAAAGTGCGAGGATCACGGTTTTGGTGCTATCATCACGGGTGGCAGACCGTGAAGTGGACAAGCAAACCGTAAAGTCTGCACACTTCTAGGATGTTTCGCGTGGCTCGCAAGCATTACCAAGATCACGATCTCCAAACCGTGAAGTCAACAAGCAACCCATGAACTTCGTTAGTGAAACGGTGCGTCTCGCACCGAGATCACAGTTTCAATGTAGACTTCATACTTCATAGGCGTGATATGAGACCGTGATATGTGCACTCGGGAGCTATATAAAGGAGAGTGAGCTGAATTTGAAAGAGAGAGTGAAGGGTTCTTCTTCAAGCATAGAGAGAGAAAGCTCCAAGCAGGGAAGGAAAAGAGAAATTGACCTACCCAAGGACATTTGTGGGGAGATTTCTACTACAAGGATCAAGTCAAGCATCTAGAAAGAAGGAGAATCACTTTGTTATGAGTTTTTCCTCTAGGAGATGGCAACGGGGCGGATCGGGGGCGGGTACAAGCCTTCCGATCCCCGCTCGTCAAACTCGACGATTTTCCTCATCCCCGTCCCCGACAACTAAACGGGGGTAGACTGACTACCGTCCCCAGCCACTGACAGGTTCGGGGAACCCACAGATCCCCACGACCGGCGTCCACTATTGAGAGGAAGTTGGGGTGGACCTTGCGGAAAACTACCGTCGGCGACCTACAAGAACGTAGCTCCCCCGTTGCCCACGAATACACTGGTCCTCTTGTCGTCCTCTTGATGCTGAGTTTGGTGAAGAGTAAATAGGTGGCATAGCATCTTTAAGGGCAAATTCGATGGCCAACGCTCGCTATATTGAGGAGAAGAAGGAGGGGATTTTTCGTTGGCGGTGGAACAAGGCGATGGGTGATTAGGGATTGCGGCGGAACAGTGATGGCTGCTCGTGCTTTCCGCTTGTGTGAAAAGAAGTTTGGCTGAGAGGGTTTTTAAATGGGATTAAGTTGCTTCAATGAAACTTCGTCGTTTTGGGCAAGGGCGCGGACGGGGCGGATACTACGAGATCCATCCGAACCCGTTGCCAGCTACTATCTTGTTTCGGACATACCCGAATCCGCCCTTTACCCACGACGAGCGATGTTTTTGACCCCCATCTGGGCGGGTTACGGATGGGTACCCGGGGGGTCGGGCAGGGTTGCCATCCCTATTTTCCTCTATCTTATTTGCTATTACTCTTTTAGCTATGGAGAAGTTCTCCTTGTCACTTGCATGATAGGAACCCTAGTTTGATATGTTGTACATTGTAAGATTATGAACTCTATTGTGAATGAGTATTGTGATTTATATATATGTGATTGAGGTATTTTCATGAAATTGGGTATTCTTGATAAAATCTTCCAATTTTGGGGCAAATAAAACCTATGAGGGAGAAGATCCCCTTAGGCAATTCGGGCCAATCCTTAGTTACCGTAGAGTGCCATGATTTAGAGTGATTGGTTACTTTGTGTCGTTCTGGGTTTAACTCGAGAAATTAGAATTGATCGCCTTGATTGTCTTTACGGGTATGAGGCACGTCCCTCTGATTTGATAGATTGAGTGGGCTATGATGCACTCGAATAGGGGGTCTGATGAATACCTGGATCAAGGGTTGGTGTAGAAAATAAAGGAATGAGAACCTAGTGGGGAATTTGGGTGATGGTGGACGTGTATGGGATGGAAGAATGGAGTTTTGGGTAGTTGATGGAATAAGCAGAAGGTGGGTTTGGGGAGTTGAGACGTGAGACAGAGGGGAAAGGGGAAGAAGCCGATCGGCCAAGAGAGAAGAGGAGATTGGGAGATTTGCTTAATTGGTTGTTTATTGATTGATAATCCCAAAATGACAATCATACGTAGACTTATAGTCTCTATTCCTAACAACTACCATACTAATCCGATATCTTCCCAAATATTTCCGATAATCCCCAAATCCCCTAAAATCTCCCTGAATATCCTTAAATATCAATAATAACAATAATAACATAATTAAGGTAATAAACTGGTGTCACGTCACTAATCCATGTCTCCATCAGTCCCCACCACTTCAGCTGAACCTTGCCCTCAAGGTTGATGATCCGCGTTAGCCTTGGCCGCTCCGCCGCCATTTCCTCCGCTTCATCCTCAAATGTCCCGAACAAGAGCATGAGGTTGGCGTTGACACAGCGATGACCGACGGTGTAGCACTCATCACAGTTATAGCATTTTTTGCCCCTCCTCTTGCGCTCCATCTCTGCCGGAGTGAGGCGCACGAATCCACCAAATGGCAAATGTGGTCCTCCCCTAATTGCCGCAACTCCTCCGCTCGCTGGTGTTGGTGTTCCTCCTCTATTTCCCGCCCATCCGGCGCCCACCGCTTCCCCAGCTCCTCCGGCGCCCCCTGACACGGTCGTGGTCGCTCCGATAGGTCTTGGTTGCCTGCCTAAGAGCCCCTTCCAGCCTAGTAGCTCCTCCTCCTTCCTTTTTGCCACACGGAAGGTAACCTGCACTGAATTGGGTTCAAACACCTTGATAGCCGCTGTAATATATGGTTTTAGCCAAGCCAAATACAAACCAACCAAAGTCCGTTCAAACTCGGACTGAAAGTTAGTTACAGTGTCGGTCTGTCTTAGTTTGACCAATTGCTCTTAAGCTGAATCGCTCGTTCCTCCAAACCGATAAAAAAACTCCTCTTTGAATAGCTCCCAGGTGATCAATTCTTCCTTCTCGGCGTAGGTACGCTCCAGCCACTCCCACCACTGTTGAGCTCCAGCCTCCAAGTAGAACGGCGCGAGGTAAGCTTGTCGTTCTTCTGGAACATTATGATGCCAGAACCACCTCTCCCCTCAAGCCACCCACAACGGTGCATCCTCAGTACCGGAAAATTTTGACAAACTCAATAATCGGAGTATTGGCGGGGAACATCTCGTTTCGGCAAAACCCATATTTTGATCGTTAGAAATTATGCAATTAAAATCAGGTGTTTGGATAGTATTTCGACGAAAATCAGAATATCGATTGATCGGATAAGTATATGTATTAAATATATATATATATATATATATATATATATTTATTTATGTGAAATCCTGGGTACCGCATACCTTGAGTACGAAAATACTATCCAGAACTAGAATTTGCCGATCTTTCGGACATGATACTATACTCTAACCCTTAAAGATCAAAATCTAGGTCTTTTTTTTTAGATAGAAAAAATCTAGGTCTTAATTCTCTAAATCTTATACCCAAAGATTAATTTAATTAGAAACAATAATCGACGGTTATGTTTCGTCCAAATATAGGCAAAAAAATCAATGCACTATCTTAGAGTTTATAGTTTATGATCTAGATAATGAGGACCTAGGGTTCACTCATTAAGGATTAGGGTATAGTATCATGCCCAAAAATCCTGCTAATTCGAGATCTAAATAGCGTTTTCATGCTCAATGTATGCGGTACCCCGGATCATCACTTATGATGTGTCAGTGCACTCACTTCATAACTGTCATTTTAAACATGCGATTTATGTCAAAATGACGCCAATCATTACTTATGATGTGATGAAAAAAAACGCACATGAATTTGCACAAAAACTATTGAAGATTTGCTTTAATGTGAAGGATTTAGAGTTTAGAGATTTAGGGTTAAGGTTTACAATTTGGGGTTTAGGGATAGAACTCAAAATTGGAGGTCTACAACTTAGGGTAATCCACTAATTAGCTGTTATCATATATTATATCATCATATTACACTAATTCTACAAATTAAAATTCAAAATCCGACACCTTAAGACTAGTTTTTGAGTTGGGTGCATTGAACGCACTCATTTTTGTGAGTGCACCGAAGTAGTCACCGTATATATATATATATAATTAATTAATAAAAAAATGAAATTAATACAAAAAGGAAGTAGGCGGTGGGGGAGCGCCTATTAATCCCCCCCGAGTCCATTTTCGTGCTTAAGATCAGGTGACTAAGGAGGGAGTCCTTTAGTCACTTGGCTAAGCCGATCTCAGCCCTTCAAGCTCATTAAAATCTAATGGCTCTAATTAATTCAATTTAATGAAGGTTAATATAGTAATTGCATGGCTTAAGATTATTTAATATTTTAATAATTATTAATGTCTCTGGCCGACACGTCTCCTCCTCCCCGCCGCATCTGAGAATTCCCCGGCGTCCAGCAATTTTCGGCGTACATAAATTAGTCCTACAAAGTGTGTCCCAGAGAGAAACAGAGAGAGATTTTCTGGCGAATTTCCCGGCGACCGTGGATAGGATTTTCCGGCAATGGGAGATTTCCAGGTGACAGTGTCTATTTTGTTATGTTTGTCGAACGCTTTTGTAATGTTTGTAAGTATATTTTTTGATTTGTATCAATTCATTTTGTATCATTTATCGTTCTACTTTGTCATTTTGATCTATTATGTTTGCAATGTTTATATGACTAATTTGTTTACATTGTAATTTGCAATGTTTGTTTGTCTAGTTTGTATACTTTATGTTGTGATTTGTACACTTTGTATTCATTTATTTGTAATACAAGTTACTGTTTTGTATTGTAAGTAGTGACATTTTGTACTGTTAGTATGTTTTGTACAGTTTGTCGGTCTAGTTTGTATTGTATAGTTCGT